TTGAAGGTGGGAGGGTCCCTTTAACAACAGTCTAAAACCGCAGGTGGGCGTGCTGAACAATGGTGAGCAATGTGCAGTAGCTGCTGGTCCGTGAAACTGTCGTTACATTGGTATGCGCCATCAGCTGCTGGTCTGTGAAACTGTCGCTCTGCGAGCCCTCACGGAGCGGTCGCTGCTCCCAGGACGGCGGCTGGCTGGCCCTGTCGGATGTGTCCCTAGAGACGCGCCGCTGCCAGCGCTGGCAGTCCCCAGGCCACTGGAACTGCGACACCTTCGACCAGCCCTGCCCTCTGATGCGCAGTCCGCTCATGGACATGGTCGGCATGGCCAGCGAGCCAGTCCCCGGTATTTGGAGTGCCCAGTCGTCCGCCTGCCGCACCGTGGCACGATGCCAGATGCTCCCAAATCTGTTTATATTGCTGAACTTCGGCTGGTCGCCGACCATTACGAAGCCCAAGAGGCCCCTAGACCACCGTTCTGCTGCACCGCATCGTGCTGCCGCGACGTACGAATGCTGCTATCTGCCAAAACTTGTTTGTAGCCAGCCGCCTCTCCGTGGCGAATGTCGTCCCGCACTTTGAGTTGCCAATGTCTAGCCCGGTGTCCAGGCGTATGGGCGATCGGGTACCGGTCAGACGTCGTGTACGTCGCACCCGACTGGCATTTAAAACCTTCGATATTGCGTGTAAATCGTCCCTTTTTGTATTTTATAGACCCCTTACACTTACACCACGGAATGTATTTTGCATAATGTATATTGTCTACGACGGAATATATATATATATATATATATATATATATATATATATATATATATATATATATATATATATATATATATATATAGCTTATACAGATATATATGTACTTTGCATTTCAGACCCTGTGGAACAGTCCTTTTCGGCTATTTCTCGTTGTATATGCGTTTGATTTTAACCAAACTTTGGCATTGGTAGTTTGAGATCCCTACCTAATTTTTATCAATATGGTCTATTAACAAAAAATGAAAAATAAAGGCACTTGTCATTGACTGATAATGTTAAGGTCGTCAGAGCCCTGCTTAGAGGCTGGCACAGGCCGGGCGCTGTCTCCCCTCTGATTGGTCATGACGCACTAGCACACTGCGGCTTGGCTCCGCCCACTTGCGGTCCAGCCTCGGGTCATGTCGGCGGCAGTCGCAGTCTGGCGGGCCGGCGTGCGGGCCGCGCGCGCAGCGCAGCGGTGTGGAGCACTTGTTTGCATGTCATGAACTTTTAATAAGTTGCATACTACGACAAATAAGGACGGAGGAAGAAAGACAAAGGAAGAGGAGACAAAGTGACAATGAGACGAACGGCAAACGTTGGCTAGTGGAGGTGGACAACATACAATATGCATAAACGCTAGAGCAGAGACATGAGACAAAGACGATAGACGAAAGACAGACACAAAAGATGGTAGACCAGACCAGAGACAAGTGACGAAGATAGAGATTTCGCTATAGATGAGAGACTATAGACTATAAACCTATAGACGAGAGACTGACAAGGGGGAATGAAGGATGGGAGATCTCTCGATATTGCATATCTACATTTTCAGATTGAGTCATCCTATATCTCATCCCTGTTTTATTGTTTTTCGGGCCTAAGATCTATCAACAATATTCTTAAAGTAAAGCATTGTGGAAATATCCAGGAAAAATTGAATATTTTCACCCAAAAATAAAAATAAAATTATTCTTTAAAACTATTAAAAAAAACAAATGCAAGTACATATGTGGATATCCTTAATTAAATAAGACCGTTGAATGCAAAGACAGTCCGGTAGATTCTGTCCCGTTACTCCTAAAATGTACAATAGCCGGTAGGAAAACGGCTGCGGAGAGGCTCGCTATGAACTATTGTAAATTAGATTATTTTAAGTCTGTATGGAATAACATTCTGTTAGAAGGAGTGCTTATCGTTTTATACATACAACGATCTGCATTGCATTCTTCATCCTTATTCACTCCGCGCGAGATAGGGCACATACCTACATATTCACGCAAGGATACCTGCGTTAGCGTGTGTCTCGCTCCAGTCTGTCAGAGCTCCGCACCGCTCTGACCCCGAGCCAAGGCCCTATATACCAGGTAGGGTCGTCCGGCGATTCTACCTTTTCGTGACGTCAGCTCGTGACGTCATTTGGAGTCAAGTCTCGAAGCCCCGTTCAATCCCCATGTAAATGAGCGATTTTCGAAGCACTGTAGAATGAAGTCTGCACAAGATATATCAAACCTAAGTATTTTATCTGAAAGAGCAGACAATTTTCTGCAAGTTATCTATTACGTGTTTTTTGCTAAATCTTTTGCTTTTTTCACAAAAGCGTAAAATGTCCCCCCATGTCTCCGCAGCCTCCCTGCCGCCGGCCGCCGCGCGGTCGCGGTAGTGTAGTGGTTAGCGTGCCCGCGCAGTATTCCAAAGGTCCCGAGTTCGAATCTATGCGGTGCGGAACTTTAATTGCAACTCCAAGCTGAACATACGCACATCTATAATAAATTATTATTCGTATAGCTAAACTGTCACCAAGCTATCCATATAAATTGACTTCACCCAAAAATTCAAATATGGCGGCTTGGACCGTAGTAAAGTAATCTTGGGCTTGGACTGCCGCGTGCGTTAGGCTCCGCCCATAGCTCCGCCCACATGCGTGACGTCATTCGTGTTAGTGGACACACGCGGAGATAGGGGACGACATGGGCCTGCCCCGAGCGGCGAATGACCGGTTACAGTGTCGCGGCGCAGTGGGCGGAGCTTAGCTGCGGCACAACAGCTGACACTGCTACGCCATGCTAGCCTCTACCACGGCGCAGAGTTTTTCGGCCAATTTTTACCATTACAAGTCAATGGCAAGTGCCTTTCATTTTGACATTTTGTTAAAAGACCATATTAGTAAAAATTAGGTAGGGCCTTGAAATTAATCGTGTCAAAGTTTGGTTGAAATCAAACGTTTTGGTAACGAGAAAGAGCCAAAAAGGACTGTTCCAGAGGGTCTGAAACGTATAATAGGTGCGTTACACGCTTACACACAGCCCTAACAACGTGTAAATTATGCATTAACACACGTATATACTTACTATTCATATATATTCACATACATTTGCATAGAAAAGAGTTAGGTTGATGTAAAACTATACCAAATAAGCATGCATTTATGCTCTTGCTTTTCGCTAGGTGGTGTTTGGTACTACTCATACTTATGTACATACACGTAGATAACAGTGCTGAGTTTAATGACCTCCTTCGAGTCTTTTAACCCGCGCCCCAGTGGCGGTCTCAGCCAACTTCGCCCTAGTGAGGGGGGGGGGGCATATGTTACCACCCACCTCTAACTCAAAAACTAAGAGGGCTAGAAAGACGCGGTAAAAAGCAGTCGATAGCTCTCAATGCGTACGTTTGAAAGTATTTCGGTCATTTTTCACCTTAGAGCAATATTGGGGTCACCAGAGGTCATCAAAGGTCAAAATTTGCCAATTGTCATTATATTTTTCAGAAAACATGCCGCTATCTCAGGAACTATGGTAGCTAGAAAAACGCATGGAACAGCAAACGATAGCTTGTGAACTCTTCTTTTGAAAAGGTCATTATCAATATTGACCTCAGGTCAACGGTTTAGCCTCCAGAGGGCAAAAACTCCAAAAATAGGTGTTTTTACGAAAAGTGTTTTTCGACAATAACTTTCGACTACAAAAAGCCACGACATTTCTATTGCCAGAATCGTGTTCCTCTCGCCGAGTCGCGTCGAATGAACTATAATTTGACCTTGAAAGGTCAACTTGAAAATTTGACCTCAGGTCAAGGTCATGACCTGACCGGAAAAGGTCATGTTGCATATCAGTCGATGCGTCTCAACAAGACAAACACAATGAGACCATCCCCAGCGTTCTATCTTGTTCCAATCGTGAGTTATTGGCAAAAAAAACTGTTTGTAGCCTCAAGTGACCTCGGATGACCTATCTAGAGTCTATCAGCAAAAATGACACCTTGGTCATCACGAGTGGACTAAATCATTGTGAGTCTGAAATATTTGGACTGTTCCGATGCGTACACACGGATCTAGAGGCATTTTCATTTTTCTCCATTGACTTGTAATGGTAAGGTCACGCCACTGACCTGACCTTAGGTCACAGATGTAAAAAATCCGAGATATACAAATTGTAGGCGCCCATAACAGCATGCAATCCAACAAGTTTAAAACCTTTCTGACAAACACTGCAGGCTGAACATGATTGCAAACTTTTTTTTAGGCTTGGTCAGTTTAATTGACCTGGTGACCTGACCTGACATGACCTGGGGTCAAAAAATTCACACATTGTCCAAAATTGATGTACCAAAAGCTACCCCAAGCGGCGCGGCGCTACGCGCCGCGGTTTTTTATTCACACGCAAAAAACGCGACAGGGTGGTAACATATGCCCCCCCCCCCCACTGGGGCGAAGGTTAATTGGGTACTATGTATATAGTGATGGGTACAGAAAACTGCTTGCGAAAAATATTGCTGGCTTTTTATTCAGGACTGTCTTTCCTTTGCCTGTTCGTATGGCAGCATGTTTGGCACTTCTCTGCTGTTTCCCCGTGCATGCACCACTTGTTTGTCGGCATGCCGCTGCTCTGTTCTAGTATGCGTTGCTGCGAGCTAGGTGTAAAAAGAAAAAAATGGTTCAAGCATGCAATCCTAACTCAGCATGTGTTTCAATATGATTTGTTATTCAATTAGCTACCTACTACGATAAATAACCAATTTGCGTTCTCTTCCTCGTTTGGTTTCTTTGCATTAATATTGAATAAACGTATGAACATGGAGTAGAAGTACCAGTAAGGTTAACTGATATGTCTGCCTTTGTCTATTAGTTCTGTTACTTTACATGGTCGAAAGGAGAAGTAGGCTTAACGTCACATAGCTGCAAGTACGAGCATGGCCGCCATGCTGGCCTACCCTCTGTGACCCGCCGTGACCGCCGTGTACTGGCCGTCCGCCTGGCAGCGATCAGTGAGGCCGGCCTACCGGGCATGGCCGTGGCGTCTTCGGCTGGCACGGCGCCTCAGCCAGGGAGCGCAGAAGAAGGCGGGCAGGCGCCGCCAGAGCCGGAGCCCTCCGAGGTCCCCGAGACGGTGCGCACCTACTTCCCCGAGACGTGGCTGTTCGACCTGCACTCGGTCAGGTCAGTTGGGAGGGGCTGATACACATCCCTTGAAACTACCGTGGTAAATGACACACATGCCGACATTAAAAGGAATACACAAGACGCACCCGGTGCTATTTGATAACTGCGTTTAACATGGCACTAAGGACGGGACGGTGAGGTGACGCTGTATTTATTCCTGCTGTACCTAAGTGTGACGCTGTACCTATGTATTTGTTACTGCAGTGAGGGCGGATTCGGAACGTTGACGCTATAGTTGTTACTGCAGTACAGTTGGCGCTATATTTGCTACTGCAGTGAGGACGGGACCGTGACGCTGTATTTATTTTAGTTCGTTTTTTTCAGTTTGCCCCTCACTGTAAACGTCTCTTTGAACACAGCACGAGAATTGCTAGCTGAATTGATGAGAAAACCGGTTAGCGCACATTGTATTGGAGATATAAATAATATTTCCAAAATAAGTTTTGAACACCGACGATGTAACGTTATGTTAAACGCCGTGCAATTTATTAATTGGTTCAGACATAATTCCTGAGAAGTCGTCTATCCCTGTGGGGCTGTAGGTATTGGCAAATACGAGCTATGAGTCTGTAAAATAGCAAATAAATTTGATGAAATTGATCGTCTGTGAAAACTGGTCAAACCAATGTGCGTCAATCAGTTTTCTCAGTAATTCAGCTAGCAATTCACGTGCTGTGTTAAAAAAAACGTTCACAGTGAGGGGTAAGCTTAAAAAAACGAACTATAGTGCAGTAAAGATGGTAGTGTATTTGCTATTTCAGTAAGGACAGGACAGTGAAGTTGTATTTTTTACTACAGCGGGGACGGCACGGTGACGCTGTATTTATTACTGCAGTGAGGACGGGACGGTAACTCTGTATCTGTTACTGCAGTAAAGGTGACGCTGTAGGTATTTGTTACTGTAGCGAGGACGGGACGGTGACGCTGTATCTGTTACTGCAGTAAAGGTGACGCTGTATTTGTTACTGCAGCAAGGACGGGACGGTGACGCTGTATTTGTTACTGCGGTGGGGGAGGGACGGTGACGCTGTATCTGTTACTGCAGTAAAGGTGACGCTGTATTTGTTACTGCAGTGAGGACGGGACGGTGACGCTGTATTTGTTACTGCAGCGAGGACGGGACGGTGACGCTGTATCTGTTACTGCAGTAAAGGTGACGCTGTATTTGTTACTGCAGTGAGGACGGGACGGTGACGCTGTATCTGTTACTGCAGTAAAGGTGACGCTGTATTTGTTACTGCAGTGAGGACGGGACGGTGACGCTGTATTTGTTACTGCAGTGAGGACGGGACGGTGACGCTGTTATATTTGTTACTGTAGCGAGGACGGGACGGTGACGCTGCATTTGTTACTGCAGTGAGGACGTGACGGTGACGCTGTATTTATTACTGCAGTAAAGGTGACGCTGTATTTGTTACTGCAGTGAGGACGGGACGGTGACGCTGTATTTGTTACTGCAGTGAGGACGGGACGGTGACGCTGTGTCTGTTACTGCAGTAAAGGTGACGCTGTATTTGTTACTGCAGCGAGGACGGGACGGTGACGCTGTATCTGTTACTGCAGTAAAGGTGACGCTGTATTTGTTACAGCAGTGAGGACGGGACGGTGACGCTGTATTTGTTACTGCAGTGAGGACGGGACGGTGACGCTGTATTTGTTACTGCAGTGAGGACGGGACGGTGACGCTGTGTCTGTTACTGCAGTAAAGGTGACGCTGTATTTGTTACTGCAGCGAGGACGGGACGGTGACGCTGTATCTGTTACTGCAGTAAAGGTGACGCTGTATTTGTTACAGCAGTGAGGACGGGACGGTGACGCTGTATTTGTTACTGCAGTGAGGACGGGACGGTGACGCTGTATTTGTTACTGCAGCGAGGACGGGACGGTGACGCTGTATCTGTTACTGCAGTAAAGGTGACGCTGTATTTGTTACTGCAGCGAGGACGGGACGGAAACGCTGTATTTGTTACTGCAGCGAGGACGGGACGGTGACGCTGTATCTGTTACTGCAGTAAAGGTGACGCTGTTTTTGTTACTGCAGTGAGGACGGGACGGTGACGCTGTATCTGTTACTGCAGTAAAGGTGACGCTGTATTTGTTACTGCATTGAGGACGGGACGGTGACGCTGTATTTGTTACTGCAGTGAGGACGGGACGGTGACGCTGTATTTGTTGCTGCAGTGAGGACGGGACGGTGACGCTGTATCTGTTACTGCAGTAAAGGTGACGCTGTATTTGTTACTGCAGTGAGGACGGGACGGTGACGCTGTATCTGTTACTGCAGTGAGGACGGTACGGTGACGCTGTATCTGTTACTGCAGTGAGGACGGGACGGTGACGCTGTATTTGTTACTGCAGTGAGGACGGGACGGTGACGCTGTATTTGTTACTGCAGTGAGGACGGGACGGTGACGCTGTATTTTTTACCGCAGCGAGGACGGGACGGTGACGCTGTATTTGTTACTGCAGCGAGGACGGGACGGTGACGCTGTATTTGTTACTGCAGCGAGGCCGGGACGGTGACGCTGTATCTGTTATTGCAGTAAAGGTGACGCTGTATTTGTTACAGCAGTGAGGACGGGACGGTGACGCTGTATTTGTTACCGCAGTGAGGACGGGACGGTGACGCTGTATTTGTTACTGCAGCGAGGACGGGACGGTGACGCTGTATCTGTTACTGCAGTAAAGGTGACGCTGTATTTGTTACTGCAGCGAGGACGGGACGGTGACGCTGTATTTGTTACTGCAGCGAGGACGGGACGGTGACGCTGTATCGGTTACTGCAGTAAAGGTGACGCTGTATTTGTTACTGCAGTGAGGACGGGACGGTGACGCTGTATCTGTTACTGCAGTAAAGGTGACGCTGTATTTGTTACTGCAGTGAGGACGGGACGGTGACGCTGTATTTGTTACTGCAGTGAGGACGGGACGGTGACGCTGTATTTGTTACTGCAGCGAGGACGGGACGGTGACGCTGTATTTGTTACTGCAGTGAGGACGGGACGGTGACGCTGTATCTGTTACTGCAGTAAAGGTGACGCTGTATTTGTTACTGCAGTGAGGACGGGACGGTGACGCTGTATCTGTTACTGCAGTGAGGACGGGACGGTGACGCTGTATCTGTTACTGCAGTGAGGACGGGACGGTGACGCTGTATTTGTTACTGCAGTGAGGACGGGACGGTGACGCTGTATTTGTTACCGCAGCGAGGACGGGACGGTGACGCTGTATTTGTTGCCGCAGCGAGGACGGGACGGTGACGCTGTATTTGTTACCGCAGCGAGAACGGGACGGTGACGCTGTATTTGTTACCGCAGCGAGGACGGGACGGTGACGCTGTATTTGTTACTGCAGTAAAGGTGACGCTGTATTTGTTACTGCAGTGAGGACGGGACGGTGACGCTGTATTTGTTACTGCAGCGAGGACGGGACGGTGACGCTGTATTTGTTACTGCAGCGAGGACGGGACGGTGACGCTGTATTTGTTACCGCAGCGAGGACGGGACCGTGACGCTGTATTTGTTACAGCAGTGAGGACGGGACGGTGACGCTGTATTTGTTACTGCAGCGAGGACGGGACGGTGACGCTGTATTTGTTACTGCAGCGAGGACGGGACGGTGACGCTGTATTTGTTACAGCAGTGAGGACGGGACGGTGACGCTGTATTTGTTACAGCAGTGAGGACGGGACGGTGACGCTGTATCTGTTACTGCAGTAAAGGTGACGCTGTATCTGTTACTGCAGTAAAGGTGACGCTGTATTTGTTACTGCAGTGAGGACGGGACGGTGACGCTGAACCAGGAGGTGCCCGACACCATCACCGAGTGGGTGGCCGGCGCCGTGTGCACCTCCGAGACGGCCGGTCTGGGCGTCTCGGAGACGGCCTCTCTGACCAGCTTCCAGCCGTTCTTCGTCGCCTACACGCTGCCGTACTCGGTGAAACGCGGCGAGACGCTGGTGCTCAAGGTGTCGGTCCGCAACTACCACCAGGACGACCTGCCGGTGAGCTCACCGCCGCGCCGCTCCGCGGGACCCGACAGGAAACGGGGCGCCGCGGAAACCAGCGGCTCAGTTGTCTGGACAGAGGTCTTTTCATAAGATCAGCTCACTATAAATTACTAACAGATAATTCCACTTCCCCTTGCACAAGAAAAACGTAAAGTCGCACGGTTATCATCCCCCCTTCACTCCGTTCGAGTCTATCAGTCGCTCAGTTGGAGCCGTAAAACTTTCGCCGAGATAATCTCACTGCTCCGCTGTCTCCCTAATAACAGGTGAAGCTGACTCTGGTGGCCTCTGAGGAGTACGAGACCCTCTCGCCGCCGGTGGAGACGCTCTGCGTGCCGGCCGGCGACAGCGTGGTGGTGCCGTTCCGACTGCGTCCCTCCGCGCTGGGCGACGTCAACATCACCACGGTGGCCGAGGTGTACCCCGAGTACCCGGCCGCCTGCGGACCCGAGACCGTGCTCTATTTCAGGTCAGAGCCGGCGCCGCTCGGAGGGTGGGGCTGGACGAGCGGAAATGCAGATAGATTTTGACTACGTGATGTTCCAACTAATGCTGTGCTCTTTTTTCTGTCGTTTGCCATTGAAATGGTAACAATAGCCACCGGATGCTGAAGATGTTTTGTTTTGTCGTTAACAGTGACGCGGTGACTAGACCCGTCCTGGTTGAGCCCGAAGGATACGAGAGGGAGTTCGTCAATTCTAGCTTCCTCTGCAGCACATGTGAGTAGTATGAGCGTCGAATACGAGAGGCAGACTCTGAAAAGCTATATAGAGTAATGTCAATGACTCAATTGAATGTCATGCTTCTGTTGTGCCCAGTCTTCAGTCACAGACCTAAGAGTAGGTATGTGCGTCTGTCATTAAGTACAGCCCGGCTGCCAGTCGGCTCGCCGTCAGCTCCCTCCGCGGCCGTTGTTTCAGCCGGTGACGGCCAGCAGGGAGGCAGCGTCATGGACGTGTCCTGGTCGCTGAGCCTGCCCGCCGACCTGGTGCCCGGCTCGGAGCGCGCCCGGGTGGAGGTGGTGGGCGACCTGCTCGGACCCAGCATCGACGTACGTGGCAGATCGCAAAGCCAGCTCGGCTCAGGACGCGGACCAAACACGTCATGGCAATGTCATCGAATCCGATGTCTAGCTTACAGTGGCGTTTGTCCTATCGACTGAACGTGGAATGACGACATATGTTATATTCTTGCATGAAAATGTTCACGTTTTAGGCCCTGTTTAACTACAGGTACTTTTACATGCATTTGCTACTACAAAGCCCTCTAATTTAACCGTTGCGGTGCAATATGTCGGAAACTCACATCTAGCTAGTGTCGGTAACGGTCTCTCACTGTGTCCCACCCACCCGGACAGAATCTGGAATCGCTGGTGCGCCTACCGACCGGCTGCGGGGAGCAGAACATGGTCAAGTTCGCGCCCAACATCCACGTCATGAACTACCTGGTGGCCGTCGGCGAGCTCACCGAGACGCTCAAAGACAAACTCGTCAAATACATGAAAACAGGTGCGCTCGGCTGGCCAAGCATCGGCTGTGTGCGGGCGTGCTGACTAGACATGTCAATCGGATACCAACTTTTTGGTATACCGATACCAAACCGATACCAACTTGGTATTTGGTATTTCAATCCTAATGTGTTTGTTATTTTGTTGATATTATAAACCCTCACTTATGTACTTATAAAAGGCTAAGAAATTGGTAAAAAGTTGGTATTTTCCTCATGTTCCCAAGTTGGTTTGGTTTCGATAATTTCCCACGGTTTTGGTTGGTATTTTGTTTGGTATCGGTATTCCGATTTTCCGTAATTGACATCACTAGTGCTGACGGTCACTCCAGCGGGCTGAAGTCATAAATTCGAACTGGCCCTGAGTGCACTTACTTCAGTGAAATCGTTTAATCGAAATGGGTACAGCTAACTTCGCTTAAGCACCTCTTGCATTGCGACTTCAGACTCGCAAGTCTTTGTCGCTGAGATCACACAAAAGACTGCATCATGCAAGCTGAAATGCATCGAGATGCATCTCCAGCCTCAGCTGATGTACATTTCTGCCCACAGGATACCAGCGGGAGCTGACGTACCGACATGACGACCAGTCATACTCTGCGTTCGGCAACTCGGACAGCTCCGGCTCCATGTGGCTGACCGCCTTTGTCGTCAAGTCGTTCGGCGAGGCCAAGAGCTTCATTTTCATCGACGAGGACGACCTCACCGGGAGCGTCAGATGGATCGAGGATAAACAGACGTCCGATGGCTGCTTTCCGTCCGTCGGAAGGGTTCTTCACCAGGGAATGAAGGTGTGTGCTGTGTTAGACGAAACTATCAACTATATGATGTGATCGGAGCTCCGCTTCATAATCTTAGCAACACTTATCAAATAGCAATACTTCCCGTTTCCACAGCTAGGGCTGCAGAGGTCTCGCTGTGCGCTTGCGCCAGATGTTCCCGTCGGCGTAACTACGGGCCGTGGCTCTAATACGGAAACTCGTCATGCATTTGCGCGCGGTGTTCCCGTCGGCGTATAACTACGGGCCGTGGCTCTGATACGGAGACTCTGTTGGCAGGGCGGAGTGTCGGGCGGCGGACAGCAGGCTCTGACTGCCTACGTCACGATCGCCCTGCTGCGCTCATCTGTCACACTGAAACCCGACACGCTGGCTGACGCCTTCCGATGTCTGTACCAGGTCAGTGGCGGCAAGGGTGGGCGAAGCGCAGAGATTCCCTGCCTGAGTCCAATGAAACTTCTTAAGGCCGCCGTCCACTGTGCGGAACGCTTGCGGTCCGTACGGAATTTAACACAGAGCCCTATGGGCGCATCCGGTCCGTACGGAAATCGTGTGAGTTCCGTGCGGACCGCATCCGAACGGCAATCAGCTGTTGATTTTCCGTCAGCTCTCCGCATGCGTTTCGGAAGCGGTTGCTACGGAAACGAAATAACAAAGTCCGACATGTTGAACTTTTCTGCGGAGAACGCAGGCGGAACGGACGCGGACAGGTACAGTCTTCCGTCTTCGAGTTTTCAATTGCAAGTCGAAGAAATAATTTCAGCTCTTTTAAGATGAAGTAAGTAAACATAATTTCTCTGACATGGCAGCACTATGTTATGCTAGTCAATTGCTATATTTTCTTTTGTAATAACTGATAATTGCTCTTCACAAATTGTTAGCAAGTGTCCGTGAGCTTTCCGTCTGCGGTCCGGAATCGGATGCGGTCAGCGTGCGGCGACATTCCTGACGGACTCCGGACGGAATTCCGTCGCAGTGGACGGCGGCCTTTAGGGTGTTAGAGACAGATGTGAAAGAACCTGTGTTCGGGAAAAGGACGTCGGCATTAGCAGGGTTCAACAGATGAGCGGGCCAAGGTAGTACGCAAACACGTCTCATGTAGATAGGTACTTACAGCTACGTGCTGCCACTCCACTTTTCAACGTCAATGCATAGGTAGTCGTTGAATGACGAGTTGACGCCGATGTTTGACATTTACAGGACTCCAGCTCGGACATATACACCCTAACGCTGCGGACTCACGCCAGAGCCCTCGCGGGACACCTAGTCGAGGCTCGAGCTGGCCTCGCGAAGCTCAAGGCCAGAGCCAAATACGCTGACGGAATGCTCTACTGGCAGAACTCAGGTAATTGCGCGCCGTCAAAGTTTTTTAACCGACAATATATAGCCATGACTCAATGAATTGAGCAATCAGCAGGCGTGACTGATGCGATGAAAGGGCTCAAAACTTAACTGTCCTGCCTCCTTCGAAATAATTATAATTATGGACGATGTGTAGGGTTGATGTCGGCTTTCTATCCCTAGATTCTGAGGAGAACAAGGCGTTGAGTGTGGAGATTGGAGCCTACAACATCCTGACAATGGAGCTGCTGCAGAAGGCAGGAGACACCGAGTACTTTGGAGACGCTCTTGCCGCGGTTCGCTGGATCAACGAGCAGAGAAATAGCGGGGGAGGGTTCGTCTCCACTCAGGTATGGACTGGGTTGTTGTAGGTAAACGAGCGATGGTTGAGCTTGGAGGAATTTGTATAAACCTAGTTGATGTAAGCAGTTGTCCTTACAAGCTGGTTTATATGATGTTCGTAACGATTATTTGTTTGAGGTTGTTGTTCAAATGGAAACGCGTGTGTCCAAATTCAGACCTGTGAAGTACAATATTATCCAGACTGTGGCCAACCGGGCGTCGGCCCCTCTAACCGGTGCGTCCCCTCAGGACACGGTGCTGGCTCTGGAGGCGCTGGCCAGTTTCTCGGCCGCCCTGCCGCGCTCCGCCACCTCCGAGCTGCGTGTCCGAGTGAGCGAGCCGCTGGGCGCGGAGGAGTTCCGCATCACGCCGGCCAACCAGCTGCTGGTGCAGACCCGACAGCTGGACAGACTGCCGGCGCGGGTGTTCGCCCGAGCCGAGGGCGACGGCTGCGCGCTGGTGCAGGTCAGTGACCTCAGGGGAGTGACCTCTGACCCCGTGTCAGAGGTCAGAGAAACTGGTGCAGGTCATTGGCCTGGGGGACTAGCGTAAAGTAGTATAAGTTCAGCCACTTTTTCTACTTTGCTTCTTTGACGCCATATTAAAGGGAACCAATAACTAATTCATGTACCAAATGATAGCTGGTCCCTTGCGCCCATTTACTCGTCGAAAAACTTTGCAAAGTCTTCTAGGAAATGCTCATTGAAAAAAGGATAAGAAAGGTATTACACATTGATCAACTTACCCCATGGGTGGGGTAACATGATCCACCTTACGAGGCAAGTTGATCAATTGGCTCTGTAAAAATCGTTTCAAGACTGATGTTGAAATGCATCGCAAGGTATGATTCTTGGACCTGTAATCCCTAATTTTAACAGCATCGTTACTTCAAGCTTATGTTGTTATGCCGGTAAATAACACAAAGAGTTGTATGTAAGTTTTTGGGACATAAGATCGCACACAGAAATTTTCATTAAATATGAGACACAGAAGTGAAACGTTACACACTTCTCAAAAAACATGCAGCAAATTTGTGAGGTTTCAGGCATAAATAAAATTTATCCCGCGCCCCACTGGGGGGGGGGGGGCAGAATCTGCCCCTGCTCCCGTTTTTCGTAAATAACTTCTAAACGCGTTACGCCAGTGACGTCAAACTTTCAGTACCTTATTATACATAAATTTAAGCGGTTTCCTGAAATTTTGAGCGAAACCTGTTGGACAATTTTTGAGGAAATGACGTTTTAGTGACGTCATGTTCGCCATTTCACCTCAAAAACGGCAAAATTTCAAACGCCGCTAACATCTTCATTTTTAAAGGACTCAAGACGTAACAAAAAAAGTTATACGTGATTTCACTTTGTCTATCAAATGGCTATCTCAGTTTTTTGAATATTTTGAATTTTGGCACAATTTTTTCTCAAAAAACTGATTATTTGGGGAAAATAATTATAAAATCCAAAATTTTGAGTGTATAAAAAACGGAATATATGCCAGAGGAGTGGTCTATGTGCACCTACATACCAATTAAAAAAAAAGATCAGTTCAAAAATGTGGGAGTTATTGAAAATTTTATGACGTCAAGATACACAAAATTTTCGGAAAATGATTTTTTTGGAAGTGCTAGACCTCGTTCGGAAACAAACATAGCACCATTCGATTCGCCGTGAAAAACTGCATCAGATAGACATCTTTTAGGCGTTAAAAACCAACTTTAAAATTTGACCTCACTTGACCTGACCGTGACCTGACATTGACCTGAAATTCATCCAGATGTGGTCCATATCACTTATTGAGTGTGCCTATTAAATTCTATGAATAAAATGACACATAACACATGTGTCGCACATGCTCGCATATTTCGTTTTTGGTGACCTGACCTGACCTTGACCTTGACCTTGAAATGATATTGTATGCAACGAATATTGTCTTGGTAGCCTAAGAACAGTCTCAGTCCAATCTTCGGCAACTACGGTGCAAGGCCGATACTGTAGAAACTTGCATTTTGTACCCTTGACCTGACCTTGACCTGACCTCTGACCTACTTAAGCAAAAAATTTGAGCTCTTAACCCGCGCACCGACGGGGGTTTGCGCCAACTTCGTACCGACAGGGGGCGGATGACCGCCCCCCCCCCCCCCCCCCCGAGATCTCTAGAACGAAGCAAGATAGCGACAAGCGGTAAACGTCATGGGATACGCACGGACAAGGTCTACAATTTTTACAAAGGTCATTTTCAGGTCAGGTCAAAGATGACGTCACAGGGGTCAAAAAGTCAAAATAGCGGCGCTAGATATGGAGAGAGTTTTTTCTCGAATAAATTTCGAACTAGTCAAGATAGGAACAATCTAAGGGCATCATCGTGATCCTCTCGTCAATCCGCATCGAATGGTATATATTTTGACCTCGAAAGGTCAAGGTCAAAGGTTGACCTCAGGTCACGTGACCTCGAGGTCATCATGTAAATCATTCGATGCGTTTTAAGGAGCTGAACACAATGAGACCATCCGCGTGGCTGTATCTTGTTCCTGAATCGAAACGGCATCGAAACGATCGGAAACGATCGTTTCGATGCCTAAGCTCAACACTTTATTTGTATTTTGCCGTTGCACTATGTCTTATGCTGCCGTATCGCATTACCAGTGCTGGCTTGAAAACATTGCTTTTATTTACACAAAACAAAGCGGATTATATATCAACAATGAGCACCAGACCACCGAAGGCGCTATGGCTGGGTGGTGGATCATACTGCCGTGCTGGGGACCGGTCTGAGGGGGACAATGGTTGGTTATTGGCTGTTCGCTCGCTGCTTCACCCATGTGACGTCATCGCCGTGGTAGTTTTATCAGAATGACGTCATTAATTGAAGAGAAACACCGTGTCTAATAATTACGCCAATCATCACATCCATTATGCTTCTGAATGGCTGGTGACTATTTCAACAGTATCATAATTCATAGATACGAGTATGCGTTGTTTTTGCAGGCTATTCTGAAATATAACGTTAAGGAGACGGGCCCAAGCAACGCACTCAGCATCTCTGTGAAGTCCAAGCCGAAGCCTGGTCAGACCAACTGTCTGAAGCACGTTGTAGGTAAGTACGAGACCTTTCGGCACTAATGTCCCGACTGAGCCTCTCAGTATCTCAGTCGGTAGACCGTTGGACTCCGCGTGGTGAGAGCACGCGTTCCCGGTTATAACAATCCGGGTTCGAAGCGCGACGGGCGCTTGACGTTCAAAGGCCTCCTGACAAGTATGGTTGTGGTTGGTAGCAGGCCGTAGCAAGGCGAAGTTAGGGGACTGACCGTCCGCGGCTATGTGCGCACGTTAAACTTAGGACTCCAAATTCTGCCATAGAAGCGGGATTACGCGATCGGAGGGTAGAGGGCAGGGTCAACGGAACATGCTTCGCATAGCGGGGGCTCTGTCCTTGTGCATCTTTCCATTAAAAAGGTTGGGACTAAATTTATAAACAAAAATATCCGCAAAATTTCTTGGGCTATAACTCTGTTCCATATCAAGCTTGCAGTCGGAATTTCTTCGGCAGATCGCTCCTCCGCTCAAGAATTTGCGTCTTAACCCGCGCGGGGCTGGGGTCTCCAGCCGAACGCGCGGGGCTGGGGGGGGGGTAAATTTTACCCCCCCTGTTATCTCCCAAACTAATGGTCCGATTTGGAAAATTCAAACGCCAATCGAAAGCTCTCATCACGAACTACTAAAAACATGTACTTAATTTAAAGTTTGAGGTCAAGGTCAAGGTCAGGTCAAGGGTACAAATTGCAAGTTTCTACAGTATCGGCCTTGCACCGTAGTTGCCGAAGAATGGAGTCATAGACTGAGACTGATCGCCCAAAACGTGTTCTTAGGCTACCAAGACAATATTAGTTGCATACAATATCATTCAGAGGTCAAGGTCAAGGTCAGGTCAGGTCAGGTCAGGTCACCAAAAAACAAAATATAGAAAAGGGCATGTGTGACACATGTTTTATGGGTCATTTTACTCATAGAATTCAATAGGCACACTCAATAAGTGATATGGACCATCTCTGGATGAATTTCAGGTCGAGGTTAGGTCAAGGTCAGGTCAAGTGAGGTCAAATTTTGAAGTTGGTTGTTAAGGCCTAAAAAGGTGTCTATCTGATGCAGTTTTTCACGGCGAATCGAATGGTGCTATTTTTGTTTCCGTACGAGGTCTAGAACTTCCAAAAAAGTCATTTTTCAAAAATTTTATGTGTCGTGACGTCATAAAATTTTGAATAACTCCCACATTTTTGAACCGATTCTTCTAAAATTTGGTATGTAGGTGCACATAGACCACTTCTCTGACATATATTTCGGTTTTTTCGATAGACTCAAAATTTTGGATTTTATAATGATTTTCCCAAAAAAGTCAGTTTTTTGAAAAAATTTAGGCCAAAATCCAAAAAATTCAAAAAACCGAGATAGCCATTTGATAGACAAAGTAAAATTACGTATAACTTTTTTTGTTACGTCTTGATTCCTTTAAAAATGAAGATGTTAGCGGCGTTTGAACTTTTGCCGTTTTTGAGGCGAAAATGGCGAACATGACGTCACTAAAACGTCAATTTCTCAAAAATTTTCCGACGGATTTCGCTCAAATTTTCAGGGAACGTGTCAAATTGATGTAAGAAAAGGTACTGAAAGTTTGGCGGCGCTGCGCGCCGCCGTTTTTGAGATATCGCAAATATTCGCGAGGGGGGGTAAAATTTACCCCCCCCCCCAGCCCCGCGCGGGTTAAAATGTAAGAGCTGTATCGCTGTATATACAGATATCACGCGCTGCTTTCAGCAGGGCACTTCGGCTGCAAACTTTAAACGGAACAGAGTATAGTTCTACCAGTTCTACAGCGTTCAGTTCCCCGATGCAGCGCTTCAACAAACGTTCGGTTGGGAGCGCCTTATGAATTCCGTGAAAGCTTTGCTTCTTCAATTTGCGAGAAAAACAACCAAAATGTGTTTAAAATGTGTTTATTTTGTGACACTGGTAATTTTGTGCATATGCCTGCACGCGCATCCCAACTTTATTGAAAGGAAAACACGAATAATAAGAATAAAAATAAAACATGCATTGAAGCGCGTTACTGTGTTTATCTTTCAGAGACGTGCGTCAGATACGAGAAACCAGGGGAGAGCAACATGGCGGTCGTCGAAGTTGAAATGGTCAGCGGCTTCATTCCCAACAAAGGCAGCTTGAAAGCTCTCAAGGAGAACGCCGAATTAGGTAAGGAGCCTGATTTCATACTACGTCATTTCCTAATAGGTACAAAGCACTCGTTTCGCTGCGCTGAGGTAGGCAGTCTCTTCCATTTACTTTTATTTCAAGAAACAAAAGGTACCTTTTGGGCTTGGTGTTTAGCTCACTCAGAAATCCAAATTCTACCATGCGTAAAAGTTTGTAGCTCATCCAAACATTAACTTTTGCCTGATATGGTCACTTCCAGTGGTAAAACGCGGTGAGGCTTATAAAACATGTTACTTGTTAGGCTTGTACTACATCGGCACTCTTTATGTTCTTTTTGTGATTCAACTTATTTTAGTCTATCAATTCTTTTTATGAATAAAAATACTTACCTACCAAAAATAACGGTTGCGAGGGAAGGAGATATTTCCGCAATAAATCACACTCTCTGGCAGGAAAGGTGGGTGAACGGGGCTCATCTCTGGCCGCTCTGTAGCCATGGAATGTGTGCTGCGCGGCGCTTCTGACCGTCTCCCTGGCTGTGCCACCCAGAGCTGAAGCGCTGGGAGGTCTCCAAGAACAAGGTGGTCTTCTACTTTGACTCGCTGGACAGCCGGCGGCGCTGTCTGGAGATGGTGGTGCAGCGCGAGCAGGAGGTCGAGGACGTCAAGCCGGCGCGTGCTACCGTCTACGACTACTACCAGGCCGAGGTGGCGCTTAGCACGGTGAGACTGAGGCCGGGGTGGCGCTCAGCACGGTGAGACTGGGGCCGGGGTGGCGCTCAGCACGGTGAGACTGAGGCCGAGGTGGCGCTCAGCACGGTGAGACTGGGGCCGGGGTGGCGCTCAGCACGGTGAGACTGAGGCCGGGGTGGCGCTCAGCACGGTGAGACTGAGGCCGGGGTGGCGCTCAGCACGGTGAGACTGAGGCCGGGGTGGCGCTCAGCACGGTGAGACTGGGGCCGGGGTGGCGCTCAGCACGGTGAGACTGAGGCCGGGGTGGCGCTCAGCACGGTGAGACTGAGGCCGGGGTGGCGCTCAGCACGGTGAGACTGAGGCCGGGGTGGCGCTCAGCACGGTGAGACTGAGGCCGGGGTGGCGCTCAGCACAGTGAGACTGAGGCCGGGGTGGCGCTCAGCACGGTGAGACTGAGGCCGGGGTGGCGCTCAGCACGGTGAGACTGGGGCCGGGGTGGCGCTCAGCACGGTGAGACTGAGGCCGGGGTGGCGCTCAGCACGGTGAGACTGAGGCCGGGGTGGCGCTCAGCACGGTGAGACTGAGGCTGGGGTGGCGCTCAGCACGGTGAGACTGACGGACACCGACCGTACCGAGGGCACCCAGAGCGGAGCCACAGAAAACCGTTTCCAAAACATCGCCTAGTTTGGTAGTTTCTGTCCACTGAAGGCAAAAACATTGACTTAAGGTCAATTCTGAGAAAGTCAGTCAAAAAGAGCGTAAATAGGGCTTTCAAATGCATCTTTCTGTCGCGCTGTAGCTCTGCTCGTTTCTGAGAACTATGCGCCGGTTTGTTGAAAGTTGTCGTCATTTAACCCAAAAATCGGGGAAATTTCACATTCGATGACCTCTGATGACCTGACTTTTCACCTGACCTTTAAAATGATCAAATAAGTCAAATAAGTTTTTCTTCTTTCTTTCTTTTTTTTTTGCTCTAACGCACGCCTCAGAACTTGTGTCGTTACGTGGCCCAGGAGCCGAGTTAGAAGGGGTGTTGAAGCACCCCGCCCCCTCCCCTTCGCAGGGTGTGGAAATCAAGGAGTCCCAGCGGGGCGCGGGTTGATAACACGTGAAACGTTGTTTTCTTTTTTATAAAAAGCATGCGTAGTAAGACTTCTAAGTTGTTTTAGTTGTATCGGCCATTCATAAAGCGTACTTTTGCCTGGTCTAAATGACTACTTTAGCAGCACCGTGCTCCTATGAAGTAAAAACTGTCAAAAAGCAAATATTTATTTTAGGTTGCACTGAGCTGTCCTAGCCGGTTAACCAAAGAATTGAATATAGTTTGATTGATTATAAAATTGATTTTTATAGTTTTTTATAATTTGGTCCCCAGTGTAGAACGAAGCTTAAGAGGAAAATAAGTCGCATCGTATGGGATTGTTTTCTTATCTTAAAATATACCATTTCAAATGCCAACACTAATGCTAGCGGTGACCGAGAATGGTAGTTATTGATTAAATCTGTGTTTTTTTTCAGTCGTACAACCATGACATGGACTGCGCCACGGCGGCTGCCTGAGCCACCTGTACCGCCGGTGACCTGCCTCCTTCTGTGGCCGAGACCGGTCACAACGGGACGGTCCTCTGCGGTGGGACCGCGGTGCGCGGCATCGTCTAAAGGAAGGAAGGCGCCTTCGGCCGCATGCTTCACGTGCGGGTTACATTTACGGTGCTTAAGAGTTTCGATGTGCTTGCTGCCTGTATTTTAACTCCTTGTTTGTAGCGGGGGCGGGTTGTACTGTTTTATATTGCGTGAATTGGATTCATCATGTCGTGCAATTTCGAACCACAAGTGAGGGAGCTGGCATACGATGACAAGATGGGACAATGCTGTATTGAAATTAAGATGATCATGGTAAATAAACTGGGCTTCTGGCAATGAAAAAAAATTGTGTTCTGATGCCTTCCGCCGATAGAACAATTCACAGCTTACAACTCACAACAAAAACGTCATTTCTCAGTTGCTGTCGGCTCACGGCTGCTGCATTTTTTCCATTACATAAATTTATCGATGTGTTTAACGACAAATGACTGAATGTAAACCCGTGTTTACTGAAGGTGAATCGACATAATCAAAAGTGAAGAACATTTCATTGTATTTAGCTTTAGGTTACATTTTTAACAGAGCCAGGAGCACAACCCCACTCCTTGAGCTCTCGATCCAGACTCCCCGCCCACAGTCAGCCGAACACCTCCGTGATCAGCTGAATGGGCGAAAACATAGTGCACATGAGATGCTCCGATCGCGGCATCCGCTATATAAAACATTATACTAATTGGTCAGTAAAGCCTCTAAGCATGAACAAGAGTGTTTACCATTCTAATGATATGTCGTACATAATAAAAACATTTAATTGCAGTATCTAGGACAGCTTCGAGTTCATACCTGAAGCAACAATTGAATAGCAGACGATCACGCGCAAAACCGTTGAATTAAATTCCTGTCCAGACATCATATGGTCACCGGGCTCCTCTCGGCGGTGAAACAGTTAAACTTTAATCGGCGCAAAGCTTGCCGATTACATGTACATATTCAATAATCAATACATGCGATAGCTGACCATCAGTCAATAACAGATTGGTGCCTTGGTGTTTCACTTTCACACGCATAAGACATTCATGACAAATATGGCATTGTACGCGCAAAGCAAAATAAGAGCAGGCGCTATTGCTGATCATCATATCTGATCACTGCTGATCACTGATCAGGCACGTGCCTGCATTCTCCGCGGCCAAAAGACACTTTGATCGAGAAACTCAGATTCGTTATTGAAAGCGCTTAAAGCGCTTACAATGTATGTATATATGTACGTCAGAGAGAGTTCAGCGTTTTGGGTTACGGTAGACGGGCAAATAACGATTAATCACGGTACAAGGGAAGTAAAATGACAACTACTTCGACTGAGACTTTCCTTTACAAGGACGAGTGTGCGGCTCTGCGAAACCGTTAGAGGTAGGTATTGAGTATGATCGTGAGAGAGAGAGAGAGAGAGAGAGAGAGAGAGAGAGAGAGAGAGAGAGAGAGGGAGAGAGAGACAGAGAGAGAGAGAGACAGAGACAGAGAGAGAGAGACAGAGAGAGAGAGAGAGAGAGGGAGAGAGAGAGAGAGAGAGAGAGAGAGAGAGAGAGAGAGAGAGAGAGAGAGAGAGAGAGAGAGAACAGGATCAATGCATGCATGCCAGACTCCGCAGTCCGCTCGTTGACGTATTTGCTGCACTCTTCTTTTTAAAGTTTCGAGACGCTACAAAAAAAACGATTTTGAAGCTCTTAAAACCCTATTCCTGGCGGGGGGGGCCTCAGGAGCCCCCCCCCCCTGAGGTTTTTTGGTTATATCTCCCAAACGCGTTGAGCTAGGAAGCTCAAATTTTCTGACTTTTCCTAAAAGGCTTCTACGCGACATGTCTGAAAATTTTGAGTTGATCTGACCTCAGGTCAGGTCACCAGAGGCGGTTTGGTGACGCTACCTCAGAAAAGTTTGCAATCACGCCAGAGCTAGAGTTTTTGTCCGATCAATTTCTTCTCTTCAGGGTTTAGTTAGGGTACCAGTATGTGCAATTTGTATATCTCGGAATTTTGATATCGGTGACCTAAGGTCAGGTCAATTTCGCGACCTCCCCATTATAAGTCAATGGGGGAAAAATCAACTCCCTGTTTTTACCACTAAAACGGGTCGGAATGGCCCCATATACCATACATGACTTCATATACGATCAACCTTCACTACCTTGAGGTCTGTTTTGCTGTTGGGCAGCTGTGAGGTCATGTGACGTCATCAAAGGTCACCAAAGGTTTTTGGCCAATAACTCCGTACAGGAACAAGATACAGACGCGTGGATGGTCTCATTGTGTTCAGCTCGTCAAGACGCATCGAATGATATACATGATGACCTCGAGGTCACGTGACCTGAGGTCAACCTTTGACCTTGACCTTTCGAGGTCAACATATATATCATTCGATGCGGATTGACGAGAGGATCACGATGATGCCCTTAGTTTGTTCCTATCTTGACTAATTCGAAAGTTATTCGAGAAAAACTCTCTCCATATCTAGTGCCGCCATTTTGACTTTTTCGACCCCTGTGACGTCATCTTTGACCTGACCTGAAAATGACCCTAGTAAAAATTGTAGATCTTGGCCGTGCGTATCCGATGCCGTTTACCGCTTGTCGCTATCTTGCTTCGTTCTCGAGATCTCAGGGGGGGCCGAATCGGCCCCCCCCCCCCGCCAGTTTCTTGTCCCGGCGGAGCCCGCCAGGAATAGGGTTAAACCATGAGGCCGGGGCTGGAAGTAGCGCTGTGTTCCGAAATATACGGTTAAATAAAGAAACTACGTAGGCATTTACTCGACTGCCGAACGGCATGCTTAGCTAAACAACACTGCATTGAAGCATGTATGAAACTAGGTGTGCCGTCAGGCTTCCCATTATTTGTTAAAGAGGGGAGCGAAAGTTGAATGTAGACTAACGAGTACAGTACGGTGTAGGTGGGGATTGGGAACATAGCCCTCGATGTTGCTGTTTGGATGCCGCTTGCCTCTGGGTGCTGTAACAAATTGTTTGACGTTTTCTGCATCTTGATAAAATCAATATCAGACTCGAAAAAACAAAGTCAAAGACGCAGCCAAACACAGCATCGGGCCTCTCCGCCTATGTGCGGCCGCCGCCTAGCTCGCTGTTGGCGCGGTGGCGTTGGCCGCCGGACAGGCCACCTCTGCGCCGGGAGCGGCGTAGAACTGCACCATGACGATGATGTAGGTGAGAATGGTGGCGGTGATGGAGAGCAGGGTGGACCGGCGCAGCCGGAACAGGCCCAGCTCGCCGAGCGCGTCCAGGTCGCGGTGGACCGTCTCTCTGAAGAGGCGCAGCGGCTGGCTGAGCTGCGGCCGGCGCCGCTCGGCAGTCAGCAGCAGGTCGCGCGTCTCACCCACGGCGCTCAGCACGCGCTGTGTCAGCTCGCACGGCAGCACGACGGTGACGGCGGCGCCCACCACGTACTGCAGGATCATGGCCGCCTCCTGGGCCAGCGCGCCGCTCGGGATCAGTAGAATCAGCAGCAGCCACATGGTGATGTTGGACACAGTGCCGTAGATCATACAGATGAGTAGTTCGTAGTACATGCTGTCAGTCAGAGCAGTGAACGCCTTGGAGAGATCGTCGTGGAGTGACAGCAGCTGCTGAAGGACATCGAAAGTCAACTGAGAACTCTGAGCGCTGTCAATCGCTGTCCGGAGATTCCTGTTTATAAAGCGGAACCCGCTGATCACATAAACACCTGCAAACACAAACTTGAGCGGAACGGTGTAGAAATGTGTAGTGTACAAGAAGTACGAGCTGTCGAAAGCAACGATGCCAGTCGTAGAAACGGAGAGCGATTCAAAGGTCTTTCCTCCCCAGGAGCCAGCGATCGAATTTATCACGGTTCCTGCTGTGAACAGGGTCAGTGCCACGAAGACGGCCAGCACCCAGTTGACCTCTGTGCGGAGTTGGCGGGCGGGGCTCTGGTACCCGGGCCGGCCGAGCAGCGGGCCAAGGTGGCGCTCCAGCGTCCCCAGCAGGCGGCCGTAGCGCCGCCGGCCGCCGCACAGGCACGCCAAGCTCGCCGCCCACAGGATCACCTCAATCATGCCGAACATGTTGGTCTGCGAGGCCATTACCACCACACCGCTTTCCCCAACCTGGTGCACGGCCAGCAGCAGCTGGGAGGAGGCGTTGTAGGCGACGCCGGCCGTGACCAGGGCGAACACGCCGGCCGCGTAGACGCGGTCGGCGCGGCCGGCGATCGTGGTGAGCGCGCCCGCCTTCAGCAGACGGAGGAGGGCGCGTGACGCCACCGAGCCGCGCAGGGCCGACTCGGCCTCGTCCGACACCGGACAGTCAGCCGGCCGGCTGTCCTGCAGCTCCACCACGAAAGCCCCTTTCGGTTTCATTACCAGCTCTTTAACCCGCACAGTGCACTTGCACAGTCGGCTCAAGTAGCACGGGTGCTCAATATCTGCTGTGCGCTCTGTCACGCTTCACACCGGTGTGGCTCCCGAGTCCCGACCAGGCCAGTTTCGATGCTCCTTTACGGCAGCTGCATGGGTACAAATCAATAGAACATAGCAAACACAGGATGACAAAGGTCGACACTGGCGCCTACGCCAAGCTCGGCCTGCCTTTGCCCCGTCACTGGTCGGCTATTTGCCATGTTACCTTGGTCTGCACAGAAAATGAATAGAACGTTTGGCTCTGGCAAACAATACGGCGAACTACTTATCTGAGGAAGATGGAATACATGCCAAATGATTATCGATTTGTGTCGGTCAGTGTATGGCTGACCGAGTCTTTGACCGCAGAGCCAAACGAAATAGGATCACAAATGTGCCAAACATTCAACGACTGCTTGCTGACCGTTTGATTATAGTCAATCGACTGCTAACAGCTCTCCATTCAATCAAGTTTTCGTACCCACAAGCATCGTCTTATACCAATTTGATCCGTTTATTCAACGAATAGACTTACGGCCGTGTCAGCGTATGGAGTATGTGCCGGTTAACTTGTGAGGTCAGTCCTAGGAACAAAAACACGTGTTGTCGCGCGTTATCCCGTTATCGCTACATCGCACGTGTTTCTGAGGACGATCTGATCGAGGTGACCTTCAGCTCGACTCGTCATCGTATCGGCGAGGTGGCCGTGCCAACCGCCGCCTCTGGAGCGAGCGTCTATCAGACAGGGCCGTCGGGCTATCGCGGGCGCCGTGACGCTCGGCCACGAGCCTATCGGAGCTCCACTCTCGCCATACTGATACCAGTCTACGCAGGTGCGCGCCGGCTCTGTCCGACCGCCACAGAGGCACAGAGCGCCAGGAACCGCCAATTTTATGCGCCGTCTCGGTTCGCTACATTCTCGTG